CATATAGTCTTGGTACAATACAGAACTCAAGCCTCGTACTTCGGCGGAAAAAGATGTCCCAACGCCAAGTGTTCAGATGCTAGATTGCAGCATAGAGCATCGAAGTTCAGGATAATTTCTTTTCCTTCGAATATTGCTTCACTTTCGTGCAATTGTTGTGGCGGAAATATACAGAGGTCGCCGCGCTCATACGTAATGGTACATGATCCATTAGGCGACCCATGTAAAAGCAATCTTCCACCTTGAAATGCTTCTTCCAGACAAAAATGCCAGTAAGTCCAGGCATGGAATCTCCAATACTAGGACAATAATCTCTGCGTGGGAAAATTGATCACCTTGAAGCAATGTCGTACAATCTGGTATAGCGACTGCGTACCTCATGCGATTTGCGAAAAAACTGTCAGATTCTATTCAAGACGATCTATATATGTGCCGCCAACCGTATAACGGATGATGTCGAACTGTGTTTCTAGAATTTTTAAGCTGGTACGTTGTAGCCCACGAATTTTACAAACTAGAGTTTCGATGAGATCTAGATCCTTTTTGCAACTAGATGTCACTCAACGCGTCCGTGAAGACTTTGAGTCGAGCAGTGAATCTACTTCGACAAGTCATTCGATACCAATTCTCCATAGGCACGTATTGTTGAGAAGAGCATGCTTGGATGTCTTCTGTTTCTTTTCCTTTTCTGAAAACACGCGACTGATGAGCTTCACCTTCGTCAGAACATTGTTTTGAAATAATCGATTTCTTCCAGTGACAAAGCATTTTTCTGATGACCGCATGGCATAGCTTCAAAACAAACAATTCGTTCGATAATGGCTATGTAACGTTGAAAACTGTTCGGAGACACAATCAATGAATCTGTTTGCATACATGCGCTTTTCTGTTGAATCTCATATGCTCCTCAAGTTCTGCTGTCTGGCGCGTATCCCGACTGCCCATGGGCCTTTACGTAAGACATTCAATTCTGGACAAATCTTTGGTTCCCCGGAAATATTCACATTCGCAGACTCAAAAGCTGAAGCATACTTCTCGGGCGTAAATGGATCTGGGAAACTCGTTGCCATAATATCTCGCCACTTCATTCTGTAGCTCGTCTCCAAATGATCTAGACGAACATATCAATTTGCTATTGCACTTTCTCTGGCGCGGACGCCACGGGGCCCAGCCTTCGTGGACGTCCGCCTGCTGCTTGGGCGAAGCAGCTCACTGCTCGCCCTGCCCGCCCATCCAGGTCAGTATCCAGGCGCGACAAGATTTGCTCCGGGCATCTTCTCAGCGTTGTGAAACCTGTCGCCGGCCAAGCCGAGGCGACAGGAGACGAGAGGCCTGCTCATATGCCCTTCGATTTTACTGCCGTCTGCGGGTCCCAGACCCAGCAGTGGCTGGAGGGGAAGATCACTATGGATCCGCCCGACGGACAGGTGAACACAGCGCGAGGATGGTACACTGCGCGTCGCAACGACGCCGCAGGACGCCATCAGCGTCGCGGCGCAGTATGTCATGGAGCACATGTGTGCCATCACCCGGGAACAGGTGCGGCCGACAGGTCGCGCCTGACGGGAGAGCTGGTACATGTGGTTCCTACAGAGGTGAGAGAGGCCATTGAGCAGAATTGGAAGACTCCCGTTGGGGAGCTCGATCTGGACCTCCGAGTCATGCGTGTATTTGTGATTGTCTGCGAGATCATCCATTGTTTTCTCGCCGGAGGATATCGCATTGCATATCCCACGCCTGGCATCTATACCCGCGACAAAAACGACGGATTTGACGTTGAACAGCGCCGTGCCGACGCATATGCGCTGGACAGCCGTATTCGTTCGGCTGTCAACACAGATGACCTCGTCGAAGTGTGGTCTCGCGATCTTTGTAGTCAGCGTCGTGCCAAGCTCCGTCGCCAAGGCGTAAAATTGCAAGCAGCTGTCTTTTTCCTGTACCCATTCTTGGCATCCAACCAAGATCATGACAGTGACGTAGGCCCACTTTGCACTGCCAATGGGCGCTACGGTCCCTATGTAACGACTGCCGCGATGGGTATAGTGAGGTATGCAAAGTTACAGCGCGAGATGCGTCTTGATGAGGAGAGAGCCGCTGATGACCCCTCCGACGGCCCAGCCGGTTCGGGGGTGACTTCTACCGCGCCAGCAAGGCCAAGCCCTGCTGGCCGCCCGGCTCCAGTTGTCCCGCCTAAACCGCCCAGCGTCCAAGACGCTCGGGCCAGTGATGATGTCGCAGAGTCTCCGCGCTCCGCCGGCGGCCAAACCGCATCGAGGGGCGAGGAATTTTCAAGGCGTTCCTCTGACAGGGGCGCGCGGGATCGGCCAATGACCGTGCGCGGGCGCGGCGGAGCCATGGCTGCCAGCCGCGGCGATGGCGCCTGGGGCCCCATGCGCCACTACCCGCAGCACTTCGAGTACGGCGAGGTGGTGGGATTCTGGGTGCACCGCGACCTAGTCTATTGGAAGGAACCCAGAGATTCCGCAAATCGTGCGTGGCACTTTGTGTTCCAGAACGACTGCGCCCGCTATTTCCCGAGAGACCAGGGAAAGGGTCCAACAAGAACAAGGACAAGTCCAATAACGTTCGGCCAGCTCCATATGCTGACCCTGGCAAGGGAGGCAAGTCAGCTGCGCCTCATGGACCAGCTTGGCAGAAAGGAGGTTCTTCATCTTCAACTCCAAGACCTCCTGCCCCACCTTCTCGCTCGCAGTCCTCCTGGCGCAAAGGGTGAGTGAGGATGCGAGCCGAACGACCCAGTCGTTTTGGCGTAAGTCGAACGACCCAGTCGTTTCGGCGAGAGAGGCTTTATTTTAAGTATTGGTGGGATTCGTCGGGTTTCTTCGGCCTCGAGCCTCTTGGCAACCACCGTTGAGCGGTAAAATGCTTTTGGGGTTCGCTCCGGTGGCTGTAAATATGTGCAGGCCCGGTGGGCTGTGGCTGGAGTTGCTCTGCGTAACCCGCCGCGGGGGGAGTAAATATGCTCCTTCGCCCCATCTTATAGTTGCCTCTCCTGCCGCTGGCCTTGCCTCACATTGACATTCGTGCAGCACTGTTCTGCAGCTGTTTGCTATTCAAGTTAGAACAGGAGCGCGCCTGCCCGCGGCCTGCGCACGTCGTCGGTCGTCGGCTGGCCGAATCTCCTCACTTCCCATGCTTGGGTACATTTGCTTAACGGATAACATATTATTTCATCGATGACTCGTCCCAAACCCCCTACCACTGAGCGTATTGATCATGAGACCTTAATTCCTTTGGCATCCTACCCCGGTTCTCAGGGGAAAGACTGATGTTGATGGTGGTAATGATGATGCGGCTGCTGATGATGATGAAGATGCTGATGATGCTGATGATGCTGATGATAATGATGCTGCTGCTGATGATGCTGATCATGATCATACTGCTGATGATTATGCTGATGATGATGAAGCTGATGATGCTGCTGCTGTTTATGATAATGATCAGGATGCTGATGCTTATGATGATGGTGCTGCTGCTGATGGCGCTGCTGATGCTGATGATGACGACGGTGCTCATAATGATGCTGCTGATGATGATGTTGCTGATTATGATGGTGATGCTTATGGTTATGGTGGTGGTGGTTGTTGTAGTGGTGATGATGGTGATGCTGATGCTGCTGATGATTTTGATGATTCTGATCATGTTAATGATGATATTGATGATAATCACGATGAGGATGATGAGGATGATGAGGATGTTGAGGATGCGGGGGGGGGGGGGGGGGGGGGTTGATGTTTCTGATGAGTATTCTTGTTATGATGATGGTGATAATGATGATGCTGATGATGATGCCAGTGATGACGATGATGATGCTGATGGTGAGGATGATGATCATGATGATGATGGTGGTGGTGATGATGATGATGGTGGTGATGATAATGATGGTGATGATGGTGGTGATGGGGATGATGCTGATGATGATGATGACGACGTGATGATGATGCTGATGATGATGGTTGTGGTGGTGGTGATGATGATGATGCTGATGCTGATGCTTCTGATGATGATCTTGCTGATGATGATGATGTTGTGACGCTGATGATGTGGATGGTGATGCTGATGATGTGGATACTGGTGCTGATGCTGATGATCATGATGATCATGTTGATGATGTTGTTGTTGATGATGATGATGGTGAGGATGCTGATGAGGATGATGATTCTGGTGATGAGGATGATGGTGAGGGTGAGGTTGCTGATCAGCATGAGGATGATGACGACGACGATGCTGCTGATGATGATGCTGCTGCTGATGATGATGATGATGAGGTTGATGATGATGATGCTGATGCTGATGCTGCTGCTGGCGATGATGATGACGATGATGGTGATGATGTTCATGATAATGACTATGATGATGATGATGATGGTGATGGTG